CTGAACAGTGAAAAAGTAACAAGTTCTTGACAGATTCGTCAGTCCTGGGTAGCTCAGTGGAGCAATCGCCGGATTGCAAAAGGTCATGAGATCGAACCCCCATCTCAGGATGCCAGGGACCAAGTGGACCAAATTCTGCTTTACTTCTGAGATATTCCTATTTGGAATGTAGGTTCCTCGATATATCTATGAACTTGTACCTCCAATCGACAATTACCATATTTCATATCGAACTCTTCATACAGTAATTACTGCCCAGCGGGCTCCGTTACTCGGCCATAACCACAAATCAACCTGAAGCTACCTGTTACCCACAAACCACGAGAAAACAGACTTTATTTACTCACTAGTGCTTTGCTACATTCTTAACTGACATTTCTATTGATGTGCTAATGTTATTAAGGAACGTACCCACACTACGTGACTCTTTCAGGAGAGATCTTCAAAACAACACGCTTGGTCACAAGCTACATATATTAAAATTATCGCTTGCGTCATTCGGCGTTTTTTAACTTACAAGTGCCAACACTGACGCACTTACAACGGGATGCTTCAGCTCAAAAGGGCTGAAATACAGAGCCGTTAGACAATTTCGTTTAGGTATTATTTGTTATACTAGTAATTATGGGTGGAATCTTGACGTCGTCGCACGGCAAGAAACCATATTTTAAAGAGACTTTATTTAGGATGTTAGCAAAAAGAATTATTAAAAACGATATTTATGAATCACTATGTATAATCTATTGATATGATCTTGGTATGGAAAGGGGTAAAATAAAAAATGGATCACATAATATGAGTAAGTGTCTTTAGAAGATCAGTGGAGAATGAGAAATGACCGCCAATCGTCGTGCAACCGCAGCGTCCCGTTGTACACATGAATGAATTCAAAGCCACCTGCGACTACGTCCGGGGTGAGATGAGTAGGCGATAACGAGCTTCTAACAGCCTTTAAAATTAATGAACAGCTTTGATGGTGATTGAGGTGGTGACGACGTGTTAATCAACTATATATTATGGTCAATTTAAAGACACCTGTATATTCTAATACATAGTAGAGACAGTACCACAGACAATACTATATCTGAATTGAATTTCAAATGCATAGTGTCAGTTTTGACATAGAACGATATTTTACTAAATTAATAACAGTAAATATATTTAAAAAAAAAACGGTAATGGTATATTAAAAGTTCTTGAAATAGCATCAGAAAGAAATTGAAAGCTTCAAAAAAGACAATCAAATCATCGGAATTCAAATAACATTCACCAATTTTTCACTTCTATTCGATAGGGTTGAAACATCAGTTTTATCATCATCATCATCGGCTCTTTTACGACTCCCTGCAGGGGCCTAACTTCCTTATGGACGGTTAAGGAGGATGGACTCTCCACGCTGGGCCAATGCGGATTAATAATTAGTATTTTCCTATTATTGCTTTATTAAAAAATTGTCCTACCTAATTTGGTACAAGCATGGAGTATTGCACCTTATTATTATAGATTATTATAGATTATTATTACTATACGTAGTATTTCAAGAGAAAGGTTTTATATGTATAATACAGGAGCACGTGGGAGGCAGAAACTTAGTTTATTTATATAGGCTAACCTTATTGTAATTATCTAAACGCTATTTGCATCTAGAACGCGTAGATGAAAACTACCGCCTGTTAAACGTTAGCGAATAAATAATTAATTAATGGTTAGTTAAACGCTCGTGAAAGCCGATTGCATCCTCAAATGGCGATCTGCTACTTTAGAAAGGGCTGAGCGATAATGGTGATCTTCGCCTTGTCCAAATGTCCGGTTAACTAAACCTGTTGCGCAGTGGAATGCGGCTCAAAGGCTGACGCATGAAAGCAACGCCCTGACCTGTGCCCATCTCTCGTACCGATTTGTTGTGTTAATCGATCAGATCTCAACAATCGAGCGATTGCACAACAGATATTTATAGAGAAATTTGTGATTTGAAAGGTTCCGTTTTTTCAAATTTGAATAAATTAAAACACACATTCCGTTATATAATCAAACACTTTTGCGTTTATTATATTTGAGAAATTTAATATTAACAGTGCTATACCGAAATACCGAATAAAAATGATTAATAAATCCAGTTTGTCCCTGGCACTCTGAGAGCAGTCACCCGGATTGCGGTTCGTGTCCCATCGCAGAGTGCCAGGGACAAAGTGGATTTTTGAAACATTTTTCATTTATCATTAAAACGTATATAATAAAATTAGTTTTTAGTACTCGGACTTTCAAAAACAGTTGACTTTCTTGAACGACGCTAGGTACAGTCAGCAGCAAATTTTAAACGTAACAAATCGAAGGTAGAGTTGAAAATCAACTGTGGAAATTTAACACCCCATTCGGACCCGAATTAAGAGAGTATATTTAAAAAAACATTTCTGTTAATCTACCGTGTATTTGTGGTCTAATAAAAGTATTTTTGGTAAAAAAAAATATTCCTTATTTATATATATTTAGTTAAATATCTGGCCATTGAAATGGACATGGGGATTCGACTGTTGCTTAATTTGATATTATATAATTACTAGAATTTTTTGATTTTATTACAGTAAAATCTTATAATAAAATAATATAATGTAACTTATGTCCCTCCAATTACCATCCAATCCGCATTGGGCCAGCGTGGAGGGTCATGGCCCATCCTCCTTAACCATCCATAAGGAGGGCCTGAGCCCCAGTAGTGGGGACGTAAAAGGGCTGGTGATGATGATGATGATAAAATAATGTCCATTGAAATGGACGCCGAGTCCGAAGGGGATGTTGTAGTACTCTGATATGCTTTAAACCACTATCTGTTTCATCGGTTACAAAGATAAGTTATATCTATAAAGGTCTTTCCAAACTTAATTTGTCTCCTAGAACTGGAACTAAGAATGTTTATACGTAATTTTATCACGTGAAATATCTGAACTAAGTTACAAACATTGTTATGTAGATTAGACATCATTAAATCGTTACAAACATGCTCGAAGGACGATCGGTATCACACTTAGGTATAAAAACTTATTAATTTTAACCAAGTTTACCGCTGCTGTTGAAAACATTTTTCGATTTCATTTCGACAAGTTTAAACTGAATAAACAACATATTTATTAATCGTGTAATTAAAATACACGAAAAAAAAACACTCATATTATATGTCAATGTGAATTTGTTATGTGACAATTGCAAAATTCGTTCCGAGTAATTAAGACAATGCCAGTCAGTTAGTTCACCACATAATAGAATAAAAACAGCTCTTTCCGTAGTGGCGTCACTCGATTGTGTTAGCAGCCCAAAATAAGTCGTTATTGTTCAATGAACAAATAAAAAAAAACGCATGGCTAATTGTGTGGAAAAGGAAATATCAGACCAATCTGTAAGTTTTTAAAGCCGGCTTGCTAAAAATATACATTTACTTGCACTCCTGTGGTCAACTGACCAATAAGAAAACAGGACTAGGGTTACCATATTATAGGATTATTAAATATAAGATTGTGGTGAGATGTTGGAAATTTCATGGGTATTAATTTTTATGATACCACGAAACATATTTCACGATAAAATTAAAAGCGTGCTGTTAGAAGGTGATGTCATATGTCATAGTATATAAAGAGCGTGCATCGTGGCGTTCTGTTCTGCCTACCCTGCAAGGTATACGGCGTGAAGATATACTCGTAGATAGATAGGTTTACTAATCAGGAATTCTAAAGTAGTCTTTTTTAAGAGGTACTTCCTTGTGCTTATTTGTTATTACTCAACATTCAGAAGACTAAAAATAAATGTAAATTAATTAATTAAACATGAGACGTGTAACTATTGTTACAAATATAGTGTAACAATTGTGGTTGCTAATCGTTGTAAATATAATATTGAAATAGCTGCATTCATTACATACATACCAGTCCCAAATTTTAAAAACAAGGATTTGAAATATTTAGTGCGAGGGCAATCCGTTTAAAAACAGATCGCGGTAATACAATAGTTAAAAGTAATAATAATTTGCAATTTTAATAAAAGTTATTGGATAACGTCGATTGGGTTGATATAAAGAAAGTAAGATGAAAACATTGCTTTATAACTAATTATTTCTACCTTCAAAAACAGTACGTGCCCGTCGTATAGCTAAATGTCTCACCTCTAATATAAAAAAAATTGAAAGCGTCCCGTGAGTGAGATATGCCAATACAATATCGCACTGTCGGTGTCCTTCCCGCCATTTTCCCAAGATTCTCGCGTTCGTCATGTTACCGGGGCAGGATCCCATAAAATCAAGACATAGGAAAAATCCTATCCTATCCTGGGAAAAAAAGACGACTGGCAACCCTAATAATGGTAACCAAGGCTAACGCTACTTAGTTCAATTGCTTGCTCTTTTGCAATCACGTCAATCACGGGTTCCACTTATCAAAGTGAAATGTGTTTTCAAGTATATGATAATAATTTTTGCATTCCTACTCCTGACGTCATTTCTATACTTGTACAACCGACGTCAGAAGTAAAATACTTATTTTATTGAGGAAAAAATGCTTACAAAATTTATAATATATTTTTACGTAAATCTCTTATTTCTCGTTTTTGTCGTATAGAACACTGCAAACGAAAAGTAATTGTAAATTAGAAAATAATATCTAAGTATTTTCTTACTCCATCGTAAAAAAAGGGCCGGCTTCATAAATCACAAACGCATTATTTGTAATCATAACATTAAAGTAATTCTATATATCTGTATAACAAACGCCAATATTTTCAAACAATTAATGTTATTTAATTAATACAAGTATAATTTTGTTGAGTTTTATTTTATTTGCATGATACATGACCGTAATATTATAAGTTTCATGCATTTAAGATTCTATTATATGAAAGAAAATAACGGTGTTGTATCATTAAACGATTTCTTAATGCTTTTGCTAAATATAATTTTTAATACTTTGTGTTCAAGCTTTGTATTTTTAGTTTCCATTTTGATATTTACATTTTTTTATGATTCGAAGAGTCTTGTTTCGACCTTGAAGACGTAAGTCACACAGTAACAACTAATTTGTAATTAGCATTACAAAATTGAAGAGAATCGATGGCCTACACTATTATCGTTAATCAATCCAATAAACAAACATTATGTTGAAACGATACCAACACTTACGAAACCACTTTAAGGTGTTGCAGCGTAATCGGAGTGTGATAAACAAACTCACGGTTCCATCGCCATCGACAACGCAACATACATTATGAAAAACGTTTGACTTAATATTTTCATATATGTGTATTGTTTTCTGCAACTCGCAATATCGCAGCTTTAGCAAGAAGGATAAATATTGCAAACGATACATTTATAGCAGCAATGTCATATCGTGTTGTAACCTCCTTGTATGTTAGAGGAACATAGGTTACTAATAACGTGTTGGTTGTAGTTTAATGAGTTTGTCTCCCTAAGTGCGACCATGGGATGAAAGGCAGACCACAGATGCGTTTGTGTGACGACATAAAAAGAACAGCTTGAACGAAATTATTGAAACAAAGAAGATGGCAGAAACTAAAGGAGGCCAACACCCAAGCAGTTGAAAATGGCTGAATAAGGAGAAGTCTCTCTCATAGACATGAGTACGTAGATACGTTTCTACCTTAAATGAAACCAAGATTCAACATCAGCTTATTAATAGCCTTACAGACTGTGCTGGGGCACAAACCTTCCTTATGGATGTATTGAAATCTTATATAATTATTTTAATAATTAGGAATAAGTACAATTTAGCTGATAAACTATTCCTGTTACTTTATAGATAGATATTAAGTTGCTGGATTGCTTGCATTGTTTATCTATAATTGTCTTTGCATGTACGAAGATATTTATAAGATTTGCTATTTTTGTACGTTGTATAAATAAGACGTTGGTAAATAAATTTGAAAAAAATATAGGGGTAAAGGGCCGCATAGCACCACGCTGCGCTGACCCAGTACCGATTGGTGGTTGTTGAGGAATGTAGGTACATCCAGGACCAATTGAGCTAATAAATTTTTAGTCACCCACTTCATTACACGTGCGAAATGCATTTGATGAACATTTTTTTATGATTAATTAAGAGTACATTTAAGCACATTGTGTTGCCATCTACTGTCTTACAATATTAACTAGGTAAATAGAACTTTCAATACGAGTGATCTATTTAACTGTGACAGATGTTATAGTTAAACAAATTATCTGCAGGGGAAATATTACACCTGTTACTGTTTATCGAGAATTCTATGGCAAAACAACGTTTGCCGGTGACCAAGTTTTTATATAACTTTGTTTTGACCAATTTAAGATTGCCTTTTTTGTTCTTAAGTCTATTTTATCAGTGTGAGTCTTTTTCCGAATGATGTCTGTTGTTTGTTCAGTCAAAAATAGTAATAACTTACCCTCATAGTGGGTGTCGTCATCATCAATATGAGGCCCTGGACTGATCTGACGGCACAGGTCCTCATATTCCGCCCAGTAGGCGGCCAGCGCCGAGGGATCAGGCGCGCGCGCCGCCAACGGCATCGACATGCGGACCTCGGGCAATTCCTGGCCACAAAGAGGACAAACTATTTATTTTTCGTGTTATAAAGGAAGAAAAAGTATCACCATCATCATCAACCTATCAATACGTTTATATTAATTAATATGTGAGTATGTATGTACATACATACAACTGCACGTCAGGACCATAATATGTCAAATTTCTCCTGTTGATTTTAAGCGCTACCTTCAAAACATTAAGATTTAAAATAAAGTGAAAATATTTGACAGATTTCTTTAGTCTTGTGTGCTATTGACTGTACTTAAATAACAGTTTCTATTAACCTCTATAGTGTACTACGCCGCCTATCACATAAGGTTTACTGGGAGAAAATGCCAACGGCTTTAAGTCCGCCATTGTACATTTATGCAAGAAGTATTAATAAATAAATAATTCAGTATACTAATGGTACAATAGGTACATATTAACAAATAGTAAGTTTAGTATGAACGCAAGCGCACGACATTTGCGAAATCGGGCGCATTCGCTGACACGCTTACAAAACGATACACCTCCGACGAAGACCAAGCAGATGCACAACGTTACGAAATAAAAAACGGAGCCTATATCTTAGAAAAAAAAGATAGAATATACAGACAGAAAATAAATGAATGAATGATTGAATAAATTCTTTATTGTAAACCATAATTATAGAAAATCGCAATTGATACAGTTTAGTTGTACAATCAGCGGCACAACATTTAATACACAACATAACAAAGCATAAAGCAGCTCAATCAATAAAATTATAAAACACTAGCTTTCCGCCAGCGGCTTTGCTCACGTGATCCCTAGGGAACTGTTTATTTGGATACCGATTCATACAACACGGACATGGTAACATATTATAATACGAACATCATTACAATGACAAATTGAATAGTAAAAAATGGATACTATAATAAACTTTCAATAGCCTAAACATATAAACTTCCACTCTCACTTTCATCCCTTTATTTGCTGTTTTACGGGGCTTATATACACCGCATATGATGTAGTTTCCCGTAGATGAAAGAATTTTTAGTCCAGCAAAAATATAAGCAATCAAATCTTTACTCTTTATAATATTAGCAAAGAAGTATGTGTATCTACACGTGTAAAAATAGATAAGCAATACTGTGTAACAGTGACTCTATCTAAACATGTTAAACATACAATTACATCTGTAATAGTATTTCAGTTTTTCAAATTAACATAATCTTGAGTATTTAAGAAATATGCGGTTGTAACGTCATTGTTGCTGGCAACACATTGTCTATGATTTTTAAAACAGTAGAAGCCTTTCAGTTTTTGTTTGTAACATCACAGAAAGACGCCATTTATATATACTCTGCAATTTATATAAAGATTGTTTTTCCTCGTAATTCTTAAGAACCACAGCGCGATACAGTCATAATGTACATATAACCATAAAACTATAGAAATATCAAATCGTCTGTTGTGCCATTCATAAGACATCATAAAATTCAAACGCAATGGCCGCGTACGATAACCGGACGCCCATCGTTCTCACTCGTTCAAATTCATTAACGCTCGAATACTCGTTACATTGCTAGTTGTATTTGCATTTTAACATTATGACGTTACACAAAAACAACAATCGTTTTAAATCTGTTCACAATAATACACATCGCGTAAAAAATGATAAACAGCGATATCGTGACCATCAGTGCGGTATCTATGTTCTGACGTCACCAGCCTCACATCATAAACTGGTAATAATTTTATTATGATAACGTAAGCCACCATTGCATAAAGTAAAGCTAAACTTAAAAAAACTTACTGCAATAAACGCAATTGCAATGTTCGTTACATCCATTAGTTTTAGATGTCAATAAATACATGGCTGTAGTGTTATAATTCGATGATATTTTTAACTAGCGCCATCTTAATCTGTCAAAACTATTGAATCCGTAACGTTGTCTAATAGGGATGACGACTGGATAAAAAATGCAATTCTATTTAGTCCGTCAGTCAAATAATAGAAAAATATTAGATACGTATTTTTTTTTTACTTCAATTTAACAAGAAATAGCTTAGATAACAGGCATTAAAGTTGAGGAGTGGGGGCTCGCTACGTCACAGTCTAGTAGAAAACGTACCATAACGTGACGTCATGCGAAATTTCAACTCAATGTAACGCCGTAATTTTGACAAACCTGACGGACAAACAAACAAAAATTTGTTGTCACTCCTATTATTGTACTCATATACGGCCGGTTTCTGAATTGAAAAAAGTACAAAATCTCAATTGATTATTCTCAATAACTTAAGTTTTTTACGTTTCATATGGCAAAGAGTCCAAGTTTTATCAAATTGCTATCAATTGATTAATAAAAAATTATAAATCAGTAATGAAAACCTATTTAAATGACGTTTAAAATGGTTTAAACACGGTTTGCGACGCCCTCAACTTCAAATTCTCAATTCAGAAACCGGGTATTAGTCAATAGTTCGTAATATATTATTATTTTCACCAAGAAAATCTTTTCTTTAAAGATCTTAAAAAAGGGAAACAGACACCTACTCATCTAAAAGGCAGTTAACATATTCAGACACCTACTCACCTTAAAGCCAGTTAACATATCCTTAAAAGTTTTATTTTTATGATAGTACTTTTATTGTATTACCTATTTAACAGACTTCAAAAAAAAGGAGATGTAAAAAAGTAACATGCAATAAATTACATTATTACTTCTCAAATTACTTGTTGATATTTTAATTTAAAATGCAAGATATACGTAGGTAAGTTCTGTAAACTTAATGAATTATCACCGGTTATTATTAACAGTTTCAGCTGTATCTATAAGCCGGCACCACGAATGAGTCATGAAAACTAAACAGGTTAATGAAATTATGTAATTTTAAAAACTTCAGCGTTGCATTTTCAACTATTAACGAAACACGCAATTCTATATATAAAAAAAAAATATCCACAGAAAAATCACTTCTTAATCAAGTTTTAAACGTTTGTTTGATTATATTTGCATGCTATTGTTGATGGTTAAATGAGCTGAACTCATATATTGTATTTCCATCACCTCATTTAAAGGCAAATAAATTATTATTATTATTATTTAAGAATCTGATATTTTAAGCTGGAACACGCGCTGATAACGTGGGACAAAATGTCGCGATGAATTGAAGTTACCCGAACTTTTCAATCTTGGTTAATAATTGCTAAGGAAATTTTAATAAACTTGCTTACTGACTGTTGGGATGAAATGCAACCTAATTGTTATATTTGTTCATTTTTGCATTCACAATGCTATACTGAAAAATATCCTTAATGAAAAATACGTAAAAATCTACTTTGTTCCGGCGTTCTGAGATGGGACTCGAACCTGATGATGACCTTTCGCAATCAGGGCGACTACTCTAACCGCCAAGCTACCGAGGACCTAAAAGGACTGACGAATTTTTCAAGCACTCGTTACTTTTTCGCTACTACAGAGCAATCAATCCACCCAAACAGCCGAAAGAAATATTTAAACTTTCGATAATTAGATGAAAATTTGAAGTATTGAAGACCGAACTAAAAGACACAGTTTCCAAGTATTCATTTAGGTAATCAAAGCAATGTAAAGACTGACAATAACCTATTAAAACAAGAGTAAACAAAATCTTAAAAAATATAATATAAACATGTATCTATCCAAACAAATAAATAAAATTGGAGTGTCTGTTTGTAATGTTAAAAACCGCTTTTTACTATAAATGTATTCACGGTAAATTTATCAAAAAAATTTTTTTTTGTATGTCTGTCTATTTTTTTTTGTCTGTTTGTTCCGGCTAATCTCTGAAACAGCAGGACCGATTTCGACGGGACTTTCACTGGCAGATAGCTTATGTAATAAGGAGTAACTTAGGCTACTTTCCACGCGAAGTCGCGGGCACAGCTAATTCTAAATAAAATTTGTCGCCAACAACTCTATTTCTAAGACATAAGTTCTTTCAATCCAACAAATCCACGGAGATCTAAGTAGACTACTTACTAATTTCAGTTTTTAGAATGCATCTCTCATTTCTCTACTCCCGGATTTCGTATTTAAGTTTAAAATAACGTTACGCCAAATGTTCAATCAATATTTTTGGCTTACTTTTAATTTCTCCACGGGCCGTGTAAAAACGTGTTTTATAACCAAAACATCGGAATCCACAATCGGAAAAGCGTACATAGTGAAAGTGAATACACGGATCTCAGCATCGAAGCTGTGCGAGCAAATTAATCAAATTATTCATTGACCGGAACAAATGACTAGCTGTATCTATGAAGGAAATTCTGTTTTCACTATCGAAACACAATAATAATTTTAGTATTAAACATATTTCTGATCACACTTACATAATGTTTGATGGATACAAAATTAATATTTCTTTGGATAAAGATTTGATGTAAATTATGTTATGGTGATACAGGAATAAGTAGTGCTAACGTTAAATCAGTGGTTATAAAAAAATCTAAATATCTGCTGGAGAATTTCAAAGTCATAACCATTTTCCAAATTATTTCTTAGTAACAATGAAATATGATGATGCTTATTATGCTTCATTACTAGTTTTAGTAACTTAAGTTTAGTTACTAAATATGATGCTTCATTACTAGTTTTATGGAACTTTATAATAGTCACTTCTTTACTTTAGTGTTCTAAATATTTTTGAGAAAAATCTTTAGTTTTTTTTTTACTTGTACAAAAATTTATTAAAGCTACTAAAGAAAACAGTATAATAAAACAAATTATAAACAGCAACTGTGTTCAGTTTTAAAATGGAACTATATGCGTGTACATTTCTCTCTTTGCCATTCATATTAAAATCACTGGGTATTCATGAATAAGGTATTCATGAATAACATTGTAGTATAATTTTCAATCTATTATTGTTAAGAAAAAATGAAAATATTATAAACAATAACAACAAAGATTAACAATAAGCAAAGAGATAAAGGCCAAATATAACTTAAAAATAGGACAACTACATCATATTTCTATTCAACAATTTCCACTGTCAAAAGTTGAATTCATAAAGTTCCTTCGATAGAAAAAAAAAAGTTAAGCCTAAAATTCGCCATTTAGTAAATTTCTTCACAATGCTATATTCATTAAAACTGTCGTCTGTATTGCGAAACTATTGGTTTGAACCACATGTGTTCTGTGGCTTGAACCATCTCATGTAGATGCCCGGCAAACTAGTTACGGACAAGTGAAATTTTTAACCATTTTCCTTTATGATAATTATTGACAACATTTAAAATGGTAGGTAAATAATTAATCATATTAATATTATAAATTATTAATATTATTAGTAGGTATAAGTAAATATATATATATTTATATAAAGATTGTCATTTTAGTATATACCTATAATTTATGTACCAACCTTTTGTACAGGCTCTGCCAGAATAACCAGCGCCGTATCAGGGTAAGTTACTCTGGTATGGCTTATGCTGAAGCAGAGTCCTGATTGGCCACCACCTTTGTAATAAGTTAAACCATTGTTATGTAACTATGTGGTCAATAAATATATTTTCTTTCTTTCTTTCAAATTCTTTGTTTGAATGTTTGTCCATCAATCATGCTGAAACTACTGAACGGATTTTGTTGAAATTTGGTAAACATATAAGGTATTAGCCGAAGCCGCTGACGAAAGCTAGTTAAGACTAAATAATTTTGTTTTAACTAGGTCAATGTACAAAATAGAGCATTACAAATATAAAAATTATATCTCGCACATTGCATCGTCTTCGATCCCTCTCTGTCTCATTGACAAGTCTGTTCATTTCCAGTTTTGTTGTTGTTAAACATTCGCGGTGCATTGTTAATAAAACAGAATCATTATCCGGCGTTGTATTCGTCGTCGCCTACGCGCCACACAATGACAAAGATATCTGAAACATCCTGGCCGACTTCCGGCGCGCGCACTAACGACTGCGCATGTGCAACATTCATTCTTTTCCTGCCCACTGATTTAGAATTATTGTGGCAAAGAACACAAGCTTGCACTTAAGAGGAGATTTACTAATTCCGCCTCTATTATAAAATTATTATTTTACAAGTCAGCTGATATTTGAGCATTTATTAACATAATTGAATGCTTGATTATGAACTAGCATCTTCTGAGAAAGGAAGTAATAATTATAGTTTTCGGTGGAATAAACTGTAAATAGTTTATGGAACTGATCAAATTAATTATCTGTCTGATTTAATTATCCTAACAATATTACACTATAACATTTTCATTGTCAATGGTATTAACGATTAACTTTTTGTTGTGTGTATGACAAAATTCTAACAACAACAAAACTATAAAATAAATATATAAATCTCTCTCTATTGCTAATTAATACGTAAGTGATCCCTGAAGGTAAACCTACCCTTAAGATTAATTACTGCAAAGAACGACCCAGCAATATAGTTTCTTAATTAAATTAATTAAGAAAGTATATAGCCACTCTACATCTGAGAATTAGAAATCAAACCGCAAGCCTTTACAGGCAATAACTCCTTTAGACAGTATCTGTTTTTGCTACTCTAATTAATGAATATTGATTTGCTTCTACTAGTTAAATGGTGCTTATTAAAGACCATTTAACTAGCAGCCATGCTTGTTTTAATAGAATGTAACATTTTCTTTCTTCTTTCTAACTTTTTCGGAAAACAGAATACTAAACAGTTTATTAGTCTCTGGTGAAGACATGACCCAGAAATTTTTAAAATTAATCCTGTACATAATTACTTTTCTCAATAGTCTTGATACAAAATAACAGTCAAACAAACAAGGAAAATACTAATATAAATGTGAAATGTGATATAAATGAGATCATTATTATAAGTGTGAAATGGATACAGCCGTAGACAATTAAAAAAATATATTATCAAGTTTATAACTTTGGTAATTCATATAAAATCTAATGTATAATAAAATAACTCACCAAAGTAAAATAAGTAGAAAATAACCCTCATATCTTTGTTGAAGGTAAGGTTACGTTAAGGCTATATTACATAATTAATGCGTCATTCGAATGAAGTATTATTTAAACATATGTGAAAATCGATGTACAAGGGTCGAGTAATTTATTTAGTCGTCTAAAAAATTTTGGTTTTTTGAAAATTATTTCTAGAAATCGTGTTAAATTTAATTTAATAATAATTCAGATAAAACGTAATAATTAAAAAGAAAATATAACAGCTCGTGCATAAAAAAAATATTGTAATATTAAATCAATCCAGTCTAACGTACGCTTGCCTGTAAGAAATTGATTTTTAGAGATAAGACCGTCAATTATACCGTAAATTTATCCTTGCATTGATATTTTTCTTTGTGGTGCACAAAATAGTATTCATTCGTTCATTTATTCATTCGTTCATTCATTGACATTTTATAAATAGATTTAACTAAAACACCTGTGTTTGTTGAAACTATTAGTAACCATATTAAAGTACTTATGACAATCCTTAAAGTCATTAATGGTAATTTTTATAAGCATTTGGGAATGCATAATGTGAAATATAATAGTCATTAAAGATAGATATTTGTACTCAGAAATTTTATTTATTATTCAATCAATAATTTCTTTACCTATTTT